TGAGCTTTGTAAAAATCGACGCGTTTCAGAAAGGCGGGGCATAGAGGAGAAACAATCATGTACAGTATTTGGAAAATAATGTGTTTTTTTAACCTTAAACCGCATAAACACATTTCATTACACCAAATACACAAAATAATGTTCTTTTTAGCAACATCATATGACCCCTTTAATAGAGTGTCTAATGTGGACTACTGAAATAACGTGTAACTTAAAGTGGTTTGCAATTTCCATTCATGCTGACTTTAACAAAACAAAATTCAAAAAACAAACTGTTCAACACAACAGTGATATTTTCTTACCTCATCTTCATGGGGCATAGGGTTGAACCCACACAAGTTACATACAAATATTTTGCATTCAGTGCAGCTGTTGTACTGATCTTTCTTGAGCTCCACCTTGCAAAGTGGGCAGACCTTGGGAAGAGGCTTGGATATAGGTGTCTCTGATTTATCCTCTTTTACTTTATTTGATGGCTCCTTAGCCTGTTGAAGTGATGGTGTCTTCTCCTCTTGTTTCTGTCCAATTGATAGTTTAGTATCTTTACTGGGTTGAGCTTTCTGGGAACCTTGTGTGGTTACAGAACCTTTTTGTGAGCTAGGAGACGTTGTGTTGTTGTTGAACAATGACTGAGATACTGTAAAGCCTTTACGGGAGCCAGGAGGAGGTGTTGTTTCTGAAACTGACGAACCTTTGCGGGAGGTTGGCGGTGTTGTGGAAGGTTCATCCTGAACAGCTGATGATATCAGATTAGAGGCTGTGCTAAGGAAGGAGGAACCAAAGCCTAAAACTTTCCCAGACACAGCAGAAACAGCAGGTTGAGGTGAAGGAGACCTGGATCGAGCCCCACCAAAGCCAAAACCAAAAAATCCAGACTCCTCTTGATGAGGTTTGTCTGATTTCACCTGCTGTGATATCTTCGGTTGACTGAGCTCTTGTGGTGTCACATCAGTGGGCTCCTTTCTCCCTACTACAGCTGTTTTCTGACCAGTTCTGGTGGCTTCCTCTACATTTTGTTTCTTCTGCACAGATTCTGGAACATCTTGCTCCTTCTTCTTTGGCACTGGGGCTACTTTCTTAGCTTGATTTTGAGGCTCTGCATGGGAAGGCATTGATGCTCGCTGCACCTGACAGGTCAAGCAAAGCCACTCCTTTGCCTGCCAACAAATAAGAGAGTTTGAGAAACCCCAGACAAAATGGTTTCCACAAAGCTCTTAAACTCTGGGTTAAAATAAGATTATTGATGCAGGTTTGATCATACAAAAACTTACACAGCAATATTGCTGAATTAGCTGTGGAATTATAATACTGTCAAAAATATTTTATATTAAAGGTAAATACTGTAGAGCAGGGCTAGTCAACTCCGGTCCTGGAAGTCCAGTGATCTGCATAGTTTACTTCCAACCCTTATCCAACACACCTGTTCATCATTTTTAAATAGTCCTGAATACTTTGATTAGCTTGATCACCTGTGTTTGATTAGGATTGGAACTAAACGCTGCACGACACCGGCCCTCCAGGAGCCGAGTTGAAGAGCCCTGCTATAGAGCCCACAGCTCGTTTTCCAAATACTGAATTATCTTACCTCGGTTTGATGAGGCATGGGATTAAACCCACAGAGGTTACATACAATGCTCTTGCATTTAGTGCAGGTGTTGAAGTTAGAAGGATCTTTCTTGAGCTCTACTTTGCAAAGTGGGCATTCTTTAGGCAGAGACTGAGAGGACATATCAGCTGCTTGAGGCTTTGATGGAGGTGTAGATGGTGCTTTGAAAGGTTGAGATTGCATGGACTTCTTGTCTGCCAACTGCTTTTGAGAAAGAGGCTTATTTTCCACAGCCTGCATTTTTGTTGAGTGTTGGGATGCTGTAGATCCCTTGCGGGATGTAGCTGCTGCTGCCACAGCAGATGTGGTTTTGAGAGATGTCTGTGAACCCTTACGAGAGGCAGGCGGCGTTGTAGACTTCACCGAGGTCTGAGAAACTGTTGTACCTTTACGAGGTGGTGGCGGTGTTGTGGAGGACTCATCTTGAACTACTGAAGATATGAGATTAGATGCTGAACTGAGGAACGAGGAACCAAACCCTAGAACCTTCTCCGAGACAACAGGTTGAGGAGAAGGTGATTGAGATCGAGCACCACCAAAACCAAAGCCAAAGAAACCTGTATCTTCTTTGGAGGAATCTGATTGTGTTGTGGTTTCGGATTTGGCTGGGGCACTACTATCTTTTGGCTGTTGAGGTTTTATAGTTTCTTTCTGTGCAGGTTTTTCATTTGGGAGATTTTGTACTGTAGACGTAGTAGTGGGTTTTCCAAGTGCTGTTTTTGACTGGTCCTCAGTACTACTGGCTCCTGGAGGAGGCTGATGTGGAGCTGTTTTGTCTTGTTGTGAGCCAGCATTAGTCTTTAGCTGGGGATTTAGACTTGAAGGTTCAGGTGCTCTCTTTATCTGGCAATTTAAACAGAGCCATTCCTTCACCTGCATGACCAAAATCACAACCACAAAACCACAAATCAACATTATTGTCCTTCAATAAATCAATTATGACCAGTAGAGTAAAATAAACTTTCTCTTACCTCTTTTTGATGAGGCATGGGGATAAATCCACAACGGTTACACACAATGTTTTTGCAATCGGTGCAGGTGCTAAAATTAGGAGGATCACTGGTAATATCTGCCTTGCAAAGTGGACAGATTTTGGGAAGAGGGAGGGGAGTTTTGTCAACTTTTGCAGACAATGTTTGGTCTGTTTTTGCTTTCACAGAAGATTTACTGGATAGCTGAGGTGACTCAGAAATCTTTTTTTCTTGTTTTTGTGCAGTAGGTTGTTTATTATCCCCTGTGTTTGTGGTCTGTGGAACAGCAGAGCTCTTCCGAGACGTGGGTGGTGTTGAGCTCTGGGAAACTGTGGAAGCTTTCCGGGAGGTTGGTGGTGTTGTAGATGTCTCATCTTGCACAGCTGAGGATATTAAATTAGATGCTGAGCTGAGAAAGGAGGAACCAAAGCCAAGAACCTTCCCAGATACAGCAGACATAGCAGGCTGAGGAGATGGAGACCTTGACCTAGCACCACCAAAACCCAAAAATCCAGTTCCTTCCTTGGCTGTCTTGGCAGGAACTTCAGATTTGGCTTCATTTTCTTGCTGCTGGGCTTTTTGGATGGGCAGAGTACCATTTAGAGCCTTGGTTTGTTGTTCTTGTAATTTCTGAGGAGGGTTAATTTTCTTGCCTAATTCAGAAACACCTTTCTTTTGAATTGAGGGTGAAGCCATTGGTTGAGTGGTAGGGATTTTGTTGGGCTGCGCTGCTCCTGGTGGCTCCATTCCTCTTAGAGCTCTTTGAGTCTGACAGTTCAGACAAAGCCATTCTTTCAACTGAAAAGTAAGACAAAGGGGTTAACACGTTCACATATATCATTCAAAACTTGTAAAAATTATTGAAAGTCAACGTAACACTACCTCTGTTTGATGTGGCGTTGGGTTGAACCCACAGAGATTGCACACAGTGTTTTTGCACTCAGTACAAGTGTTGTAGTTGGCAAGGTCCTTTTTGATTTCTACCTTACAGAGTGGGCAGGATTTGGGCAAGGTTTGAGGGCCTTTGTCTGCTTTTGGCATCTGTGAAGATGGTTCGGCTTTTTTAATTTGAGATATTGGTGCTTTGTTCTTTTGGTCTGCAGTTAGCTCTGTCGTTTTCTCTTCTTTCTGACCATCTGATTGATTAGCCTTTCCTGTAGACGCTGATAATGCAGCCCCTTGCGATGATGCGGACCCTTTGCGAGACATCGGTGGAGTAGAAGTCTTGAGGGAAGTTTGAGAGACTGAAGGTGCTTGAGGGTTATTTGGTGGTGTCGTAGAAGGTTCATCTTGAACCGCTGATGAAATGAGATTAGATGCTGAGCTCAGGAAGGACGACTTAAATCCTAGGACCTTACCAGACATGGCCGAAACAGCAGGCTGAGGGGATGGTGATCGTGACCGGGCTCCACCGAAGCCCGAAAAGCCGAAAAATCCTGACTGTTCTTGCTCAGTCTCAGCCTGTGGTGCTGCTTTAGACACAGAAGGAGAGGGGGCATGTTTTGCTGTCGGTTGCTGTAAAGGCTTAGGAGAGGGAGCTTGCTTTGCTCCTGGTGCACTAGTCTGTTCATGCATTTCCTTTTTCTGAGAAGCAGGTTGGTTGGCAGGACTAGTCTTTGTTGGCTGAGCTGTGCGCTGTTTCTCTAAAGGACCATGTGTAGATTCCATCTTTTGAGATTTGCTGGGCTGTGTTTGGGACTTTATAGTGGGTTGTCCCGGAGGCTCTATTCCTTTCAGCGCTCTCTGTGTCTGGCAGTTTAAGCAAAGCCACTCTTTTGCCTGCAAAAACATTACAAAAAATAAGTTAGTTCTCCACATTTATTTTACAACATGAATAACAAATGATAAAAATATATATTTTGCAGGACGTATGTAAATTGACCTCACAAGCAGATATCACATAACATTACTACTTGTAGCTTTAAAGAAATATTTAGAAAACCCTCAGTGACCCAAGCATTGGTGATTCATTCTCTTTTTTGGTTATTAAAGATTTTGTGTGTGTGACTGATTACAATAAAAACCGTAGAAAATTGTTCTGTACTCTGAAAGTGTGTATTTATTATTAATATAAATATTTCAATATTTCAAACACATTAAAAAAAACGATGTGTATTTATATATTTTGGTTACTTTTAGAAAAATGTTGCAAATGCTTTCATGAGAATCCTTCCCAGCAAGATGAAATTTGAATCAGAGTAGTCAGTTTGAATGTCAGAGCAGCCCTTACAACTATAAAACTCTCAACTATAGAGTTTCATAACCCTGGAATACTCCTACACATCACAGACAACTGTAAAGTATACTGAAAATGCATATTCTGCCAGAGGCCTACAGAACTACTTTTATAAGCACTTTCCAAGCTAGAAGGATGAAACCTCAGTATGTTCATCTCACACCAGCCCTAAGACACCCTTAAATGTTTTATTATCCTGAAAATGCAAGTTTTAGAGGCCGACAGTGTAGTCTCTCTGACTTTCCAGTAAGCTAGAAGGCTGAAACAAATATTTTCATATCAGAGCAGTCCTCTGATGACCCATAAAGTCCCATTAGGCTACACAGAAAATCATTTGAAATATGTATCAATGGGTCAATGGGCTCTTTTGTGTTACAAACAACAACACAACCATAAAATGTGGATTACCAAGGCTAACTGTAGTACTTGTGCAACATTCAGAAAAATTGTCTTATTTGCATAAGCTTATATATACACATACTGTGCACATAAAAAATTCACAACTGACATTACAAAAAGACTGCTTCTAAAATCAGAACAAAAACAGCTTACATTGGTGTCAGAAGGCAGTGACAGCACTTTTACTTTGGCATGCTGGGGTGGGGGAATCTGTAAATGTTCCTGCCAATTTTTTTATGATACATTTCAGAGTTTGAGCTGGTGTTAAATATGTATTAACTCTTTAAACACCTTTTGTTCGCTTTTTGGTATTTTGCTACAATGGATCTCTGAGGGTTAAATTAAATCCCCTCTGTATCTCAAAGTTTTATTTATATTTGTGCTGCCTGCACAATTCTCAAGCACACGGCTCATCCTGAAGCCCAAATTTAATCTCTGGAGAAAGCCAGCAGCACTCTTTTTTTAGGCCTAAGGAAACAGACTAAATCATTTAGATAATTTTAGCATGGGATAAAAATATACACAGATGTGTTGCATTTGCAAATTCTCTAGACTTAAGGCAATCCTCAGGTTTGAATAGTTCATGATTAAACACTAACCACACAGTTGTGGCCATAAATGAAGGTGACCTTCATATCGGAGACATATTTTTTCACTATTATCTAATTTCAACAACACTGAGCACTTGACACTGAGCACAACCGAGTAGCAGATGCCACTGTAATCTACACCTCATCTCTGTGCTTTTGAACTCTCTTGGAAAAGTCTTAGATGTTATCTCTGAGGACTACCCACTGATCCCCTGTCTGCTGAGTTTTCGTCACACAGCCGGCCCATGTGACCCAATAGTCTTGGAGTCACCTTGCCCCAGGCTGCACATAAACTCTGAATGGTTAATTACAGAGTCAAGTGTCTTTTGTGCTCAACACATCTTAAAAGATGAAATGGCCATTTAGGGGCCAAACTGGTATGCTCAGGACTTCCATATCATGACAATAGAGGTGGTAAGGGCTCTCTGGGGGACATACATTATTACAGCAACTTCACTGCTAAGACTAAGCACATGACACATTGCTTGCCTTGACTATACTAGTCCCTAAATATCCCTAAAGTCCCTAAAACCTGATTGCCAAGATACAAAAGTTAGTCTGTGTTTTGAAAAATATATAGTTGCAAACACAAACATTATTCACGCTAGAATTAGACATGTATGACATTTGTAAAAAGTGTATGTTTATGGCCTCAAGAAAAAATATTGATCCCAGCACTACCAGAAAATAACCAACTAAACTTAATATTAAACATGATGAAAGTGATTTCAAATGATTTGCTGACTTCAGCCACACCAAATCTCTCTCCAAAACCTTGACCTCAAAAGACATATTGGCTAAATTTGTAATGGCATTGTAGCATATTATTCTAACTACAGAGAGTGTTTTCTAGTTTTATGATTGGTTTTACAAAAAATAAAACATAAAACAAATAAAGCACATTGTATTTTTCAGGACATCTATTTATATGTCTGTTACTACATCGTTTTATGTGGGGTATTACAAATAAAAACTTGACAAAAGTCATAATGACACATAGTGAAAGAAAATTAAAAAAGGACCATCTATACTTACAAACAAAATTAGGTGATAAAAAGGGAAACCACTTCAAAATAAAAGCCACGAATGCCACTAAGGCCTGAAAACGATGACAAACAAAATGGTTACATTGAAACAGTAGATCTAACAACTTCAGTTGTGCTAGGAAAATCATAAATCCCCTTGGATCAAAACATACAACACTAAAGCCCACAAAATCATCATGAATTAACCTCTCTCCCCAAGACTATCTTGATGGCTTTGCTGGGTCTGGAAAGTGGGTAAAGCCAACACACTGCATGGAAAGCTGGCAGGTAAAATATACAAGCCACTAACTGTAATGTTTGACCCAGATAGATCATTAAACTTCATAACACAAGTCACTAAGCACAGAATGTCTATTCATTCAGAACATCTATTTATCACCCAAAGCCCTAATGGATCTGTGAATCACTCTAATGCATGACTAAAAAAAGGAAGAAACAGTGTGAAACTGCACATCGATGTTTTATTTTTTGCCTTGAGAGTCAAGCACTTTATTTTTGTAAGTTTAGGTAGGGAGTAGTCCGAGGTAATTGAGAATCAAGGCACATTTTGTCTCTCTCACAGCCATTTTCGTTCTGCCTTCCACAAGACTGCCTCCACACAAACCAAAGAGACTAGAAAATACATCCATCTTTTACAACAGAATCACTGGAATCACTGAGAACATGTCCTCTGAAATTGCTCTTGACATTTTCTGCCCACAGTTCATTGCACAAACCATAATGTGAACCTACTGCAAGAAAATGCATTCATCTGTTTCTTACCTCTGTTTGATGAGGCACAGGATTAAATCCGCACTGATTACACACGGTGGCCTTGCATTCAATGCAGGTACTGTAGTTGGGAGGATCTCTTCTCAGGCTTGCCTTGCAGAGTGGACAGGCTTTGGGAGGAAGTTTTGGGCTTTGATCTAATTTAGTGGCCTGAGCAGATGAGGTTTCCTTTGTTGTCGTTGTTTTTTGAGTGTCTTGGGGTTTACTTTGTTGCTGTTGCATTTTTCCCTCCTGTGTCTGTGATTTAGGAACACTGGTGGAGCCCTTAGTGGCCTCTGAGCCTTTTCTTGAGGAAGGGGGTGTGGAAGTCTTGGCAGAGGTTTGGGAAATGGTGGAACCTTTTCGAGAGGTTGGTGGGGTTGTGGAGGGCTCATCCTGGACAGCTGAAATCAAATTGGACGCTGAGCTAAGAAATGAAGAACCAAAGCCTAGAACCTTTCCAGAAACAGAAGAGGCACCGGTCTGTGGAGAAGGAGAGCGGGATCGAGCGCCACCAAAACCGAAACCAAAGAAACTGGACTCTTCTTCTTTTTTAGGGGGCTCAGTCTTTGATGGTGTCTCAGTTTTGGCAGGAGGAGCACCTTTTGTCGTCTGTTGTGGAGGAGGTTTTTGTTGTGACGTTTGCTGCGACGGATGAGCTGCCCTTGTGCTGGACTGGCTTGACGGTTTCTGACCCTCTGTTGGTTTGGTTGGCTGGCTGGCAGATGGGGGCATCTGCTTACTATGAGGAGTGTTTTTCTTTGCAGGGTTCTGTGATGGTACGGAGTCCTTGGGCTGTGGCTGGGCTTTTAGCGTAGGAGGTCCGCTGTTCTCTGCCCCTCCCAGAGCCCTCTGCATCTGGCAATTCAGGCAAAGCCACTCCTTAGCCTGCGTACATGGAGGATACACATTTGTTATACAATTGCTAGTTTTTAACTTAACAAGAAGTTCAAATTAATCAGTTGTTTTGCATTGTTCCGCACAAAAAGACAATTTATACAGTGAAAAATGTCTTCTGAGGAATTAGGATTACTTATTCATAGTTGCATTGATGAAAAACTCTATTTACTTCTTTAGTGAACGGTGATAAATAATTGTGAAAAATAAAAGCTTTTGGGGAAAAAATTTGTCAAGGAATTAAAACCATCACAGTCCAATAAAACGTGCTTCAGAGACAGTGGACTCTCTGGATTGAAACACATAATGGCGAACTTTCACCAGAGAGTAAAAAGTGACATGTAAATCTAGAGCGGTCTATTCGGCAACGGATATAAAACAAGATCTAGTTTCTTTTCCTTTTGAATCCCAAAAAAGAACAAAAAATACTTAAAATGAGACATGCATATTGTATACCACTGCTTTATGTATCACACCAATACAGATTAAAAACTAAATTAGTTGTTAAATGAATTTTTACTCACAGTTGCATCCGGAGGACTGAACCCACACATGTTGCAGACCACTGATTTACATTGTGTGCAGGTGTTATGGTTGGGCGAATCCTTAGACTTAAGATTGAGTTCTGTATTTTTACAGACTGGACAGAGGGATTTCACCCCAGCTCCAGGTCCACCTTTCACTTGAGGCTCTGATGAAGGAGGCCTTGAGCCAACTGCACCTCCTGGATGAGACGCAGGTCCACTTGGGCCTTGTTGTTGAGGTCCACCCTTCCCAACACCCTGCTTAGGAGATCCACCCCCACCTGCTCCTTGTTGCAATCCTCCCCTGCCTGCTCCCTGTTGTGGAGGACCTCCTCTCCCAGCTCTTTGCTGTACAGGACTTCCCCGTCCAGCTCCTTGTGGTTGAGATCCACCCCGTCCAGCTCCTTGGCCACCCCTTCTCACACCCTGTGTCTGCTGTCCACTTTGCCTCTGAGGCCCCTGTGAGGCTGGTTGGCCATTCCCCTGCTGTTGAGGATCCTTCTGCTTTGAGGGTCCTGGAGGCTGCTGTTGTTGCTTTTCCTCCTCATCCCCAAAAAGACTGAACTTGTTTACAGCAGAGGACATTGCACTTAGAGGATTCCCCCCACTCAGAAAGTTGGAGGAGAACATGTTGGCTGTTGGGAATGGGGCTCTGAAGACCGGTGTAGGAGAGGGCTGGGATGGGGGGAGCCCAGAGGAGGGAGTCTCTCACCAGTTGAAGTTATCCCTCACATTTACCTCCAGTGTCCCTTAGGAAATAGAAAATGGACAATGAAAAGAGAGAATTCATGCATCACTTGTGTTTTTATTGCACGCATATATATGTGCATGCATTAAACATCAAGTAACGCCATATACATAATAATATTAAAATATTAGTAGTTCCAGACTCCATAAACAAAAGGATTTAATACCATGTTACATCTTAAATATACGTCAGTTCTGCCTAAGACAAAATGGGGTGAAATGAGAATAGTATTTTGACTGAAAGTGTTGTTTTTTTTAGGCATAGTTTAGCCAAGTTGTCTTCTTCAAAGCAAGTAAAAACCTCATTTAAGAAAGAGTGGTACATAAGATAAGCAAAAGATTTTAAACAAACAGTCATCAACTTCATAAATCATAATTGTTAACTGACATGTAGAGGTTGTAGATGGTAGATGATCAATCTCACCTAGTCACGATCTGCAGTACTCACACTGACATATAACATCCAGTCATATAGTAAATAAATTAGCTAACATTGAGGGATAGAGGCTCCCTTACTGCCCTGATCATCATGCATTCCCTCTTTACATAATCTAAAACTATTTTAATCAGCACTTTTTCATTATGTAGTTTGCATGATCTTATATTACCTGGTGTTCTGAATGACATTGCATTGGAATGCATACATTATAGACAACATGTCTGTTATAGACCATACTATGAAAATAATACGTTGATTAAAAAAAGTTCATGCCCATGGTATTTGACAACTACAATCCAAATTGTGAGTTAAGATTTTGCATTTACAGTGACAAAACTAATGACAGTTTGGCAAAGATTATTTTACTACGCATATTGTTTATCAACATGTGTAATACACTTAAAAATTCAGCATGAATATGTAACAGCGATGAAACACTTAAAATCTCGTGTAAAGCATGACTGCATTCGCCCTGTAATTGACTGAGCGTTTGGACGTTTCCCTTCAGCACCCTGGACAGCGCTCTACGATCAGCTCATGTATCACGTCTCTCTGCCTTTCAGCGTGAAATACAACACGCCACACCATTCACAGCAGTAACTCTACACGGACACATTAATGATGAGGAACTTTAAAGGGTCAGTGGGTTTTCTGTGTGTATTTATTCGCAAATGTAGAAATGTTTTTCAGTATACCGCGCGCTATAAAAATTAAAACTACACTGGCGATCATTAACCTGATATCAACTTTAACAGCCCACAAACATATATTGACAGATTGTTACGTTTTTTTTCTGCTTCTGCTCCTTCAAAAGCAACATCTATAGCCCGTCGGCATATCCGGGTTGTAAAACCTCCGCTGCATGTGTAAAACACAAATGGGTTTACAACCTTATGTTAAAGAAAACGTAATGTTTCGTTATTTAAATGATTGGCAGTTTTAGTTACACGAATTCAGGATGTGTTTTTGCTCCAATTTACCCAAAAACACTGTAATATTATATGTTGGTTATTTGATATGAGGTTGTAGATGATAGATGATCAATCTCTGACAGTCACGATCTGCAGTAATCACACTGATCTCGCCACATAACATTCAAACGGGAAATAAAAGAGCAAACGGTGAGAAATGGAGGTTCCCTCACTGTCCAGATCATGATGGATTTGCCCTTGATCATACCCTGTCGGAGGATTTCCCAGCCTCATCACTAAAACCGCATCCGTCCGAAAGCATTTCCAGACTAGAAGTATTCCTCTACTACAACACACCATCGCAATCATCCTTCCTTAAAACTACCACTGTGATCAGATGGAAAAACATGCTTATTTTCATCAGAACGGCCAGCTGAAGTGGTAAAAACAGCATCCTACCTTACAGCGTGCGAGCATCCCTATTTATTCTCCCATTTCTGTCTCTCTAGTGCTGGTTGGTGATCGGCTGCTCGGTTTCTAGGATGGAGGTTACGAGGATCTGAGGGCATACCCGCTTTCACAATCGCCTCCTCTGCGCATGCGCCGCACATGACAGGTGATCAGCATACATCACCTCGCGAAAATTGAATTTAAAGCGACATAATCATTCGTCTCTGACAAACTGTCCGCTAATAATCGGCTTCCATTTGTTTGGGCATCTGTTATAGGTTTGATATCGTTTGGGGGGAAGCACATAAGAATGTTGACAGTGTATTAGTATAAATAAATAAACAAAACCTCCAAATTATTAGTATTATCACAATACTGTTTTTATAAAATGTTGATCAAATGTTTAAACATTATTTTAATATTATTATGATAATAATGATTAATATTGTTGTCACCTAGTTAACCTTTTATATGTAAAAACATATAAAGATAAGGTGGATAAATTACCAATGGATAAAACAACAAACAAAAAAAAAATCTAAATAAAAACATGGCAACTGCATTATTATCCACCCCTCTGTCAATACGCAATGATACTACTAACCAATAAACAAGCAATTCTTCAGAACAAATAAATAATTTATATGATTTCAAATGTTGAAATCATATAAAAAAAAAAATATATATATTTTTTTTAAATAAAGTTCAATCACTAACAAATCGCCACCTTGGAATTATAAGGTTCTATCTGCATTCTGAGCAGTTTTAAGATATTGAGCTTCAAAGTTTTTGCGTCCCATAGACTTCTGTAGATAGAGTCATTTGTTTTCTTGTTTTCTTGCTATGACATGCAATCTGGTTTATGTTTATTAATTTAGAAGGTCAGCTGTAGTCAGTATAAAAGAGAGAGCCTGTGGCAATGGCCTAAATCAGTTCACCTTCAAATTCATAGTAAACATTGATGGGGTATGACAATTCATGTTCTCACTTGTCTCTTCTACTTTTTCTCTATTCTTGCTTGTCATTTGTCTGTGCATACTCACTCACATGCAGCATCATTCAATTCTAAGGCAGTGAGAGAAGCATGCTTTTCTCTGTCTGCATCTTAAAAAAGGCCCAAAATGTACACAGCTTACAAAAGAAACATCACATAATGTAAATAAGTTGTCACATAAGAATAATGGAATAACTCCATTTTGACAAAAAATGTCTGACAGAACCTTATAATTCCAAGGCGACTACATTTCAATGATACGTTAGATAAATGCTTTTTCTAAAGGAAACTATACAAAGCAAAAATATGTAACCTATATGTAAAATGTAAAAATATGTAAATTTGTGTGCCAGAAAAGATAACCATGTCATTTACATCTTTTGTGCTTGAATGAAAATACATACATACATACATACATACAACCCTGAGGCGATAGTGTGCAACAGAAGGTTAAACAGCGACAATAACAAC